TAAGCTATTTCTACGATGGACTCACAATCTGAGAGCGCCAATTTGTTGAGATGATGTGCAATGGAGATTTTCTCCAGAAGGATCCTGACGAAGCTATTGAGTACCTTAATGAGTTAGCTGAGAAAGCTCATACTTGGACTGGACCGAGTGCTACTGAGAGCACCAGTAGGTCCCGACCAGTTGGAGTTTATCAATTAAGAGAAGAGGACAGCCTCAAGGCCCAAGTTGAAGCTTTGACGAAGCAAATTGAGGCCCTTAAAAGTAAAGATAGTAAAGGACCCCATATGGTGGCAAGGACAGAGGCACATGAGCCCTGTTTTGTTTATGGTGGAATGGCCCATCTAGCTTAAGATTGCCACACTTTAAGTGAAATGAGAGGGGTATATGAGGAGCAATGCAATGCATTGGGCATATAAAATAAGCCTTATGGACCTTTCTCAAACACTTATAATGATAGCTGGAAACACCACCCAAACTTCAGTTGAAGAGATCCAAACCAACATACACAATCATCTGGAGGGCAATGGAGATCAGAGCAACAATCTCAACCACCAAGGACATATTTTGCACCTCAGCCTAACATGCAGCCGAAAGGGAATTCTTTAGAGGATACCCTAAAAGCTTTTATGGATGCGGAAAATAAGACGAATCAAAGAGTTGATTCAATGCTCACGCAGCTGGCGGAAGAGAACAAGGAAATAAAAAGTCAGATCACAAAGCTGACAGAAGCTTTAACCGTTCAAGAGCGCGGTAGATTTCCATCACAAGCCCAGTCCAATCTAAGAGGACAACACATGGCTCAAACTTCCAACTCTGAAGGTCAAAATATCAAGGAAGTTAACGCCATCTTTACTCGAAGTGCTAAGAATTTAGACACACCATCGACAAGTATAGCCACTTCGAATAATGAAGAATCGGCTCAGGAGAAAGAAGAGCCAACTAAAATTCTGGTAAAGGTGCCTTTTCCCCAAGCTCTCCGACCTGCTGAAAAAGTGCCGGAAAATCAAAGTGAGATCCTGGAGCACTTGACACAATTGAAGATCAATCTTCCCTTACTACACGTGATCAAGCAAGTGCCGGCCTACGCCAAGGTTATCAAGGATCTGTGCACCATAAAGAGAAAGCACCACGTCAAGAAGACTGCATTCTTGACGGAACAAGTTAGCGTGGTGATTGAGCAGAAAACACCGCCGAAGTATAAGGATCCAGGTTGTCCTCCCATTTCTTGCCAGATCGGGACACATGAATTCGGCCAAGCGTTACTAGACTTAGGGTCGAGCGTGAGCCTCATGCCTTATTCGGTCTACTCGCAATTGGGTCTTGGAGAGATTAAGCCCACATCTGTGGTTCTGCAACTGGCCGATAGATCCATTAAGAGACCACGGGGAATCGTATAAGACGTTCTGTTACAAATCGACAGGTTTTATTCCCCCGTGGATTTTCTTGTCCTGGATACACAATCCGTGGTGAATTTAGAGTCATCAATTCCCATCACTCTAGGAAGACCTTTCCTTGCCACAGCAAACGCACTTATCAATTGTAGGAATGGTCTCATGAAGATATCTTTCGGGAATATGAACCTTGAGGTGAATATTTTTCATATTCAAAAGCACCCACGTGATGATGATGAGCGTCACCAAACATTTATGCTCGACACACTTGTCGAGGAGGGGGTTCTGCCGCAAAGCAACTCTGAAGATCTAAAAAACCTCCTCCAAAATTCTGAATCTAAGAGTTCCGATCCTTGTAAGGTGGCTAACAGTTCTGCCATTTTCAAAGAATCACAGGACAGAGGAACCAAGTTTGGGTCACCATGTTTTCAGGAGCTCCCAACAGAAGGAGAAAAACAAAAATCATCCACTGAGGAGGCTCCAAAAGTCAAGCTAGCCCAACCACCTGAGGGCTTAAAACATGCATTCTTGGGAGATGAAGACACATTCCCAATCATCATCTCATCTAAACTCGATCCATTGCAAGAACAACGATTGATCGACATGCTGAAAGAGTGCAATTCTAGGATCAAGGTAAAAATGAAAGCGGTCCATGACGAGCAGATCCGGAAGAAGAATTACTTTGAGCGGGTGAACCAGGTGGAAGAGATCATTCTCGACGACCCTGTTTACCAGCCCTTAGTAGTTTGCTCACATCTTCTATACCATATTTTGATTTTCTGTTTTTCTTTGTTTCTTTTTACATTTTTTTATGTGTGTTTTTAGAGAATCATATCACGAAGCTCATGCTGTGCTCATAAGTGGAAAGCTCATCGTCCAGGTGTCTTCTTTCTCTATATTTCCATAATTTTTGACATTGAGGACACTGTCTGATTTTTGTTGGGGGTGGTGAGCACATTCATGAGTAAGAGTGATTTTTGTCATGTTGATATTTGGGTTAAAATTTTTGCAAAGTTGTCTGAGTATGATTTCAAAATGATTGGTTTGAGTCGATTTTTGCTGTCTTGGTTACTAAGAAATACTTCCAGAGTTTCTTTTTGCACGTGCTAAACCTTGTGGTAAGATGGATGTTAATGCATGTCAGCTGAGAAAATTTTTGAGTTTAAGTGCTTGATTTTTGGTGAGTTAAGAGAGTTGAGTAAACGACTTTTGAACCTTCATTGACCTTTTTGAGCTGGTAAAATCACTGTTAGAACATCATTACATGGTTAGTGGTATGCTTGGTGCATATGCTTGAGGGATGAATTTTGGGTTAGATAGGAATAATCTTATGTAATAGAGCCTTATTTCTTATTTTTCTATTAAAAAAAAACTGAGCAAGAGCAACATTTCACAGATCCTATAGTTTGGTGTTAATCACATTTGACGCTATATAGTTGTTTGTTAAAAGAACACCTTTCTACATTCACTTCAGGTTGTCTCTTGCCAAACAAAAAAAAAAAAAAAAACAAAACGAAAAAAAAAAACAAAAAAAAAGTAATTTATTTTCCTTGCATTTTTTTTGGCTATTTGTTCGTTTCTGTAAATTTCTGTTTGACCCGAATGAAATCCTAAAAGTTGGTTTGTGGTAAGAATGGTGGAATGTTCTAAGAGTTGATTAACCTATCTTTTGGTCAATGTTCGTTTGACTGTTTGTCCTAAATTTGACCTTCCTCACACTGAGCGTTGATTGTTTTATTACCAACTCCATGAAAGAAAACCTTTGCACTCAAATATTTCTGACACCTGTGAGATCAATGGAGTTGAGGCTTCTACTTGGTGAATTTTTCAAAGCTGCATGTGTTATGGTCAGTGGTAAGAAGGTTATGGTTTGGAGCACACACACGACTCTGGAGTTATGACTGAAATAATCTTAATAGTATCTTTTTACTTCTTGCTAATAGTTTGTTTGAAATACTCAGGTGACTAAGCGAGTTGAGACTTAGATTTTCTTCGTGACATGATTTCTCTTGCGCTTGGATTGCTAAAGACTAGCAATAAGCTGGTTAGGGGTTGTGATTAGTGTATAAAAATGCACATTAAATACTGCTTTTGATTATATAATATTAAAATATTTAAGCTTTAATTAAAATGTTTCATTATTTTTATTCAGAATATTTTTCATTGGAATTTGTTTAGTTGTTGCTTGATTATTTACAGATAAAAAGCAGTGTAAAAAGCTACACAAAAATAAGCCATGAAAGTCATATTTTTAACCCCCCGAGCCAAGCCATCCAGCCAAGCCTCACAAGCCAAAAAGTGAGAAGAGCCGCGTCAGCCGTTTGAGCCACCGAGCCAAGCCACGCGTGGGTCCCAGTTTGTGATAGCCTGCCCGCAACACTTCCAGCGCGCGTCACTTGTACGAGAGTTCCTCTGCGTGCGCGTTCCTTCCACGCGGCCATCACTGCGCGTCCAAGCATCCCTCCGCGTGGGTCCCGCACGACAGCAGCAGACCTGCTGCCTTCTCCGTGTCCGACACCTGTCCAACGCGGGTCCTCAACTCTGACCACGCCAGCACACGCCAACCAATCCGTGTGTGACACGTGGCACGTTTCTCTCATTAATGCCAATCTCATTTTGACACGTATCACTGAGTGTTGAGTCTGAATTTCTCCTTCCAAATCAGAGTAAATTGGCAGATTTCTTCCCCAAATTTCATATATGATTTCTCCAAATTTATATGTAATTTTATTTTGTTTCCCTTTCTTTTGTAATTTCTTATTTTTATTGTTTGTTTCCTTATTTGACAGGCAACCTCTGAACACTATAAATAGAGGAGTTGGCCTAAGGTTTTTAAAAGCTTTTAATATTCAGTTTTCTGTCGTCTTGCTGTCAGTCTCATATTTTCTCTCTAGAACTTGTGAGAATGTTTTGCAAGATAGACTAGAGTTCTCTTGGTGAGGTTAGAGATGAACTTCTGTTGAGTGACCCAATTCGGGGTTTTGATTCCTTGTGCTGTAAAGTTTAACATCTGAATGAATTAAATTTCATCTATTTTTCTATTACTTTTCAAAATATTGTGTGCCAATTTTTATATAAGTTCAGTCATGCTTTTCTTATGTAATTCTGTCATGCAATGTTTTGTTATTCAAATTATTTTGTAAATTGTCTTTTACTAGAATATTGTCAAATTGATATATTGTCGATTTTAGATAACTTGTAATAATAATATTTTTGGAGTTAACATAGAGATTTAATTTATTCGATTATTTAATATTGTGAATCAAAACTTGAATTGGTGAACGAAACATTATGGATTCTCGACACCTTACCGTTTTTATTATTGAATTTTCTTCATACAAATTCCCTCATTTCTATTCTATTTGCAACAAAATCTCAAAAACTATTCTTTTTCTTTAATTCACTTTTCTTTAACGCTCTTATTCTGTTAGTCTTTCTTGTTATTTTGTTATCTCTATGTGGATACAACCGCCATTCTGTGCTACAATTAACCGCTTGTGAACATCACTTTTGGGCGTTAATCAATAACGTAAACGAAAAAAAGGGCCGTTAGGATTACATATATCTGTTATCATAATCATATACATTTGTATATGTTGACGTTTCTATATATATAAGTAATTTTAACCTTTGTTTTTGGTAAATAGTTTCTCTATAGAAAGTAAGGGATTAAGGAGAAGGTGACACTCTTGTAATTAGAGTTGAAAGAAATGACTTCATAGTAAGTTTGTTTCATAAAAGTGAGACATGTCATGAAAGTAGAGTAGCATCTGTAATAAAGTTTGCAATAGAGTCTGCATTTAGTATTTGCATTCACGGGTTTTTTGCCAACAAAGTATTTTGAGAATTGTTTTGGCCATGATGGATGCACATACAAAAAACTTGTACTACATGAGATCTGCACGTACTTCTTATGATGATTCTGTGATGCTTGTCATGAAAGCTGACTTGAGGATTCTAACTGCCAAAAATTCGAACTACCTTGACTACCATTGATTTCTCATTGAACAATATTGGAGGGATTCCACAGTAGAATTGGAATCTTAAAGTACTCCGGATTAGACAATTATTAAAATGTTTGGTTTGGTTTCAGATTGTGGACGAACGATTCTAATATGAAACCGCGGCGTCGATCAAAAAACCGTAGATTATTAGTCAAGACAAACGGTTTTTGATTTTTGGTTTTTGGTTTTTTTTTTTTTTTTTTTTTTTTTTTTTTTTTTTTTTTTTTTTTTTTTTTTTTTTTTTTTGTAGAGCAGGATTCAGAGCCCTAATTTGTTTACAAAACCTATAATTAGGAAGCCCTTAACCCGAAAGATCTCCTATTGACAAGAGACATACAAAACTCAAGAGCACTGAATTACCAGCAAAAATGCGACTTTTGTCGACTAAAAAAATAGGCCATACGATCAGTAACTTCGCAACTTTCTTTGTAAACAATAACTAGTTAATAGATTCTAAATAGAAAGAGCATCATCCTAATGAGTTTTGAATCTCCAACGCACATTGGGTTTGCGATAATATAAAAATTCGAACCAAAGAAAATTCCCCCACACCTTATTGATTTACATAAACAAGTGCAAATTAACGTACAACCTAGCCAAATATTCATAAATAAAATTGGTTTTCGCCTTAGGGCACGTTTCTAGCTATCAATAACCTTATTAAGATCTTCCATAATATTAAACTAACCTTGACACGGTACACCTGAAACCCTAGCATATCTCATGCACTGATCATTTTCTTCAGCTTTTGTTGAAACCTCTCCATGGCCAACAGGGGCAATGAAATTGGCACCACAATCCCCGCCTCGCGTCCATTTTCGCATCGCATATAAAAGCTAATTCCCGGAAAGGACGATGCAACTCCGGCATAAACCGGTGGGCCCCAATCAAAGTCAACCTCCTCATACCCGACATGTCTATTGTCGGAAACAATGAAACTCCCCACTGTTTTAAACATAGGCTGTCCATTAACCACCAAGAAATCCACAAGTGATCAGAAGT